GTAAGGTTTTGGGTAAGGGTGAACGTTGGTAAAAATATTATGGTTTGCGGAATCATAAATCAATATCGGTACGATTTCGACATTAGGGCAAACTTAATAATCAGAAAGAACGTACTCATAACTGTACCATAAAGAAATGCATCCACAAAAATGATGTCGAAAATGATTTGATATCCATACGATATCGTCGATATCGACAATATCGATAGCAAGTACAATCTTCCTAAATTTAAAGTATTTAAACATACATACACAATGGCAAGGACAGCAGTTTGAAATGCTTGAGCAAACATGAATCGACATCGAAATGATATCGACGATATCGAAACTACAGGAGGAACTTCAGAAAATGATAGCATTCAGGTAACATAACATTGAGGGAGGTAACCAATATCCATTGAATAATCATGACTGAATATCAATGCGATATCGTGGATACGTACAGTAAGAAAAGCTTTGTAAATATTGAATATTGTAACATACGAACAAGAAAAAAGAAATATTGTAGCAAACTATGAAAAAATAATCTGTCGATATCGTAACTACATCTTGTCTTGGACATAACTGGGCTCCAAAGAGCCAGGAACATGAAATTCACAACTTTCCTCTCCTTTTATCACACATGCTATATACCAAAATTGATTAAAATATATATAAAGGTCACATAGAAAAAGCTGAATATGTTTAAATATAACATACGACGGACGACAAATGACAACAAACGAAACATACAGCAATAAGTCACCTGAGTAAATGAACAACCTCATCTCCAAATGTAATGTTAAAATGTGACATGGTTCGGATGAGATAATTGCCTCAAAGACTCTCTTAAAACATAACAAGGCGCACTTCCTATGATCCCTTTCCTTTGCCTAGTGTTGTTACATTATTCAAAGATGGCGGAGAAAAAAAAAACGCTTGAAACAACCCACTTGGTGGAACCCCTACAGTTCCAACTTATAAGCGAAAATGATAAGCCCCCCCCCCCCCATTCTGCCACAAAAGTACTTTCATGCACACTTCAAAGATAAGGGGGTAATAGACGAATCTTAAATTTTCTTGAAAAATGAACAAGAAAAAAAAATAAGGTTTCTCTCAGAATATTGGCAATGTCCAGTCATAAAGACCCTCCAAACACTGAAAAGGAATACTTCCTATGATCCCTTATCCTTCCCTTGTGTTGGTTTGTTATGGTGTTCAAATGTTGCGAAAAATAAATACTTCAGAAAGGGATTTCAACCAAAGCACAACTAGGTGGTTCCCATAAAGTCTTAATCTGAGATCGGCAAATGATAGCCCGATACGCCACCTACCATGCCATACTAACGGTATGATGCATATCCACTTCCAAAAAAAGGCACATAATAACAGATCTGTATCCGTGTTTCAATATTCAATGTAAATAAACGACAAAGTTGAACTGGCCCCCATCAGGACCGAGAGAACCCGATAAAATTTTTCAATGATCCTCAACCAGTATTAGTTTCTTCCATGGACCTAAAATGATTTAAAATGAAAGTTTCAAATACGCCCCCACCCATGGCACCACTTAGTGGTACCACTACAGCCCCATTCGGATAGCGGGAAATGATAGTCCTAGGGGCCCTCTACCTTGCCCCAGTAATGATTTGAAGCACACTTCAAAGATAAGGGATATAATAGCTGACATTTAAACTGTATATTAAAAACACAAAGTGAAAAACAACAAAGTTCAGGTTAGCTAACTGGCCACTTCCTTTCTCAGGGACCCTTCAAAAACCAGGCAAGTGGTTCTCTCTTAGGTCCTTAACCTTTCACCAGTGTTACTTTGTTCTAGTAGCCAAAGATGCTTTCAAAATGAATGCTTGAAATACGTCCCCCACCCATGGCACCACTTGGTGGTACCACTACAGCCCCATTCGGATAGGGGGAAATGATAGTCCTAGGGGCCCTCTATCTTGCCCCAGTAATGATTTGAAGCACACTTCAAAGATAAGGGGTATAATAACTTACATTTAAACTGTATATTAAAAACACAAAGTGAAAAACAACAAAGTTCAGGTTAGCTAACTGGCCCCTTCCTTTCTCAGGGACCCTTCAAAAACCAGGCAAGTGGTTCTCTCTTAGGTCCTTAACCTTTCACTAGTGTTACTTTGTTCTAGTAACCAAAGATGCTTTGAAAATGAATGCTTGAAATACGTCCCCCACCCACGACACCACTTGGTGGTACCACTACAGCCCCATTCGGATAGCGGGAAATGATAGTCCTAGGGGCCCTCTACCTTGCCCCAGTAATGATTTGAAGCACACTTCAAAGATAAGGGATATAATAGCTGACATTTAAACTGTATATTAAAAACACAAAGTGAAAAACAACAAAGTTCAGGTTAGCTAACTGGCCCCTTCCTTTCTCATGGACCCTTCAAAAACCAGGCAAGTGGTTCTCTCTTAGGTCCTTAACCTTTCACTAGTGTTACTTTGTTCTAGTAGTCAAAGATGCTTTGAAAATGAATGCTTGAAATACGTCCCCCACCCATGGCACCACTTGGTGGTACCACTACAGCCCCATTCGGATAGCGGGAAATGATAGTCCTAGGGGCCCTCTACCTTGCCCCAGTAATGATTTGAAGCACACTTCAAAGATAAGGGATATAATAGCTGACATTTAAACTGTATATTAAAAACACAAAGTGAAAAACAACAAATTTCAGGTTAGCTAACTGGCCCCTTCCTTTCTCATGGACCCTTCAAAAACCAGGCAAGTGGTTCTCTCTTAGGTCCTTAACCTTTCACTAGTGTTACTTTGTTCTAGTAGTCAAAGATGCTTTGAAAATGAATGCTTTAAATACGTCCCCCACCCATGGCACCACTTGGTGGTACCACTACAGCCCCATTTTGATAGCGGGAAATGATAGTCCTAGGGGCCCTCTATCTTGCCCCAGTAATGATTTGAAGCACACTTCAAAGATAAGGGATATAATAGCTTACATTTAAACTGTATATTAAAAACACAAAGTGAAAAACAACAAAGTTCAGGTTAGCTTACTGACCCTTTTTCTTCCCAGGGACTCTTCAAAAACCAGGCAAGTGGTTCTCCCTAAGGTCCTTATCCTTTCACTAGTGTTACTTTGTTCTAGTAGCCAAAGATGCTTTCAAAATGAATGCTTGAAATATGTCCCCCACCCATGGCACCACTTGGTGGTACCACTACAGCCCCATTCTGATAGTGGGAAATGATAGTCCTAGGGGCCCTCTACCTTGCCCCAGTAATGATTTGAAGCACACTTCAAAGATAAGGGGTATAACATCTGACTTTTAATCCATATATCAATAGACAAAGTGAAATACAACAAAGTTCAGGTTACCTAACTGGCCTTTTCTAGTCATTGAAACCTGTCAAAAAGTTGACAAGGGATACTACCTAATTATGGCCCTTAACTTTTTTCCAGTTTAGTGTTAGTTTCTTCTAGTGGTCCACTATAGTTGAAAAATGAAAGCTTGAAATATGTTCCCCACCGTTGGCACTACTTGGTGGTGCCACTACAGCCTCATACCGATTGCGGGAAATGATAGTCCTAGAAATCTTCTATCTTGCCAGAGTATTGATTTAAAACACACTTATAAGATAAGAGGTATAATAGCTGCTTGAAATATGTAACCCGCCCTTGGCTCCACATGGTGGTACCACTTCAGCCTAATTTTCATGGCCGTATATAATAGCACTGTGGATCGTTTACCTTGTGCCAGTAATTGTTCGAAGCACACTTCAAGGATCATAACTTAAAATAGATTAAATTACCTTCAAACCCTTATCAATGTAAATATTAGGAGTAAGCAAATTTCAGGTTAGCCTTTTGGCACCATCATATTCCTGAGACCCGTAAAAGAGCTTAAAAGGGATTCTCCCGGAAGTACTTAATCTATTTCCAATGTTGGTTTGTTCTTAAGCGGTCAAAGATGGTGACATTTTCTTTTCTTTCTTGTTTGTTTGTTTTGAAACCGCATAATTTTCCTTATGCAGGTGAGCTAAACTGCCTCCAAGTGTTTGAATTATTAAATAATTAAGTGTTGCATTAATTATCTAATTATTAATTATCAATTGTCGAAAATGAGGCATTAAACAGTATTGCGTCAGAGTACTCTCAGTCCTGTGATGAAATTCCTTATTGGCTGCTAGCTTCTATACGGGCTTAATGGCTGCTGTTATTGGCTGCTAGCTTCAGTCTAGTCCCTGCATGTATGTAAATGCATGTATATGATTCAGAACATCACTGAAAGTCAAGTCTCGTGAATCATAAATGATCGATTAAAAATTTTGTAAATAAAGCCATTGTTAAAAGTGGAAAAGACATTATTTACAGAGGGGGAAATTTTGTCTAGCATGTATATGATATATTTCGCTTTTTACTGACTTTAAAATAATTAAGAATTGAACAATCAATATTTTGTTTAAACAATCTAAATATATACATGTATTCACCCTGTTTTCTTTTTAGTCATGTTTTCTTTTTTCTTCTCTAATGTTCAATACTTTCATAACTGTAATCACCAGCCAAGATAATCAAATTAATCCCATTTTTTTTAGATTTCTTAGCGCGTCATCGGAATATTGATTAGTAAGCACCATCGTTCAAGTGTATGTCAGGGTCAATGTTCCTATTATTCAACTACGAATAGCTTGTACTATAAATTATTTTAGTGTTTATATTTTAAGTGTTTCATATCCCTGTTAAAAGTACCTGCAAAACCGTAATGTTCACGGGACACTGAACATAAAATATGATGTTTTAATCTTAAATCTTTTAATAGACATGTTATTTCATGTAAACAGCGGAAGCCCCAAGTAAACCAGCGACAAGGCTGTGACAGGAGCAAGGTGCCATGTTTTACTTTGGTGCATTAAAAATGAAGAATTTGAACTGAAAATGGAATACCCTCCTCTCTTGTAGGAACAAAAAAACCTGGATCCACCCCAGCTTTAAATATAGAGTGTAGGATTAATTTGCGAACACTTTACTTACTTGTATAGATCTGCAACTTCTTGAAAGTCCGGATGAAATGTGCCACCGAAATTGAGCGGTAGTGGTTTTTGGATGAACGTCTTATACACATAAGCCAGAACGGCCACCACGAGGGCCAGCACGCTTATTTTCTTCAGCCCTGTCATGTTGTTTACTTAATAAAAGAGTTGTCTTTCGTTAGGTTTGGTACATTATGTAGGTCGTACAAGTTGTTTATTTACTGTCAACCAGTGTCAGTGCGTAGAAAAGTAAATGTTTGATATCGTGTAATGTACCTGTAATGTAGGACACTCAAATTCAAATATGTTATCGTGAAGTTTCTGTGCTGTTTGTTAAAATCACAATAAAGTTGCCGTTTATAAGGACGTGCAAAGGCGGATCCAGCGCTGGGCGTGCCCCCCCCCCCCCCCCGTTTGAATTTCTCTTTGAAATTTTGTTTGTATTATCCTAAAATCAAGGGAAAAACACCTCTTATTTGTTAGAATTCGTCAGTTTCCAGTTTCCGGACCCCCACCAGGGCTTTGCCCTGGACCCGCTGGGGGATTCAATGCAGCCCTCAGACCCCCTGCCTTCTACTGCCCCCCCCCCCCGTTATGAAATTCCTGGATCCGCCGCTGACGTGTGTGGAGAATTTAGATCATTTAATGCATAAGGAACCCCGATTGTGCTTTTATTTAGGGGTTAGGAACACTGGTCATTGTTAACTATTATGCAAGGACACTTGCTACAAACAAAATAGTGGATGCATGGATTGGTACATGAATATATTTTTTAGCAAATTTTGATTGCATTATGATGCAATATCAAATTCCTGAAATGTTTTTTAAAAGAAATTGTAAATTTTCTATAATGCTTTTAATTCTCATGTGATGTCGATCATTCCCATTATAAATCTATACAATTTTTTATCATGATATAGGACATTATTGAGAAATTGTGAAATAATAATACACTTTTTTTTTGGTTAAACTTATTAATTTTGAAGATATAAACCTAGATTTAGTGCCAATTTTCATATTTTTTTTAAGTTTGTTGCAGCAAGTAGTCTTAAGCATTAGTATGCTTTACGTTTCCAAGCTATATAACCGAGCAAAGGTTTGTGCCAAAGGAGTTTTTAGAGATATATAACCCCCTTATTTAATTTGCAAAGACCGAGTGTGTAATTACAGAAATTCTAAATGTTATGAACATTTTACTTTTTTTTCTTGCACCCCCCCCCCCCAAGTCTTGGAAGGTTAATCCTATAACTGAAGTATGGACATCAGTACCATGCTTATCGGTATCCTGAAAAACTCTCTTCCGATTAGACTTAAAGAAAAGTATATACATTATTTTATTGATACATGTATATTCTTAAAATATTTGACCAACTTCGTCCCTATCTCGGTCCTGCCGGACTATGGCCCACAACTTACAAATTACTAAATACTGGAAATCGGAGGATTCACATACAGTCTATTCAAAGTTTTTGCTAAAAAAAGTTTATATTAGATGTCCAGCATTTAAAGATTAATTTACAATGTGGGAAGATGGATCATATTTCAATTGCTAGATATTCAAGAGTGTTGAAAAAATTGTAAAACTTTAAAAATTGATGTGAATTCTCAGTAAAATGAGATACATATGCTAAGCCCGGCCATAAAGCACTAAATATCTAACAAAGTGACACGAGTCTCAAAAATTGGCACGGCAATTAAAGCAGTTTTCCTATGTGTTTTAAAAGGAAACAATTTCCATTGTTTTACACGTATACGTATAAAAAGTTATTAAAGAAATTCAAAGGAGCAGCTGGGGTGGGTGTCCTGCCCAAGTACACAAGGTAGAAAGAGACACGAGTGTCTAATTCACAGCAAGGTGCCAGCATCAGCGGGGGGGGGGGGGAGCAATGTAAATTTACGTCTCAGCTAAGTAGGTATAAAAAGCTTTATGTCTTACCTATGGGGGGAGGGGGGAGAGGCTGAAGAAGTTTTCAGTGATAATGAGAGAAACTTTGTATCTAAGCGGGGGAAAAATGTTATTGAGAAAGTTAGTGGAAGCTTGTTATATCGCATAAGAACGACTTTGTTTAATGTTCTACACAAAAAAAAAATTAAGTCACACCTAATAAGAAGTTATAAGGGGTGGCCAGAGAATTGCGTCCAGATGTAAACCGGGGACACAGAGGGGACAACAACTTAGAATAAAAATCAGAGCATCAATATCAAATGTGTACAAAGATATTCCAGAAAGTGAGTAGTGGATGGAAAGAATGCAAATACTTGTATATGTACATAGACCAAGACATTAATTGATAGAAACTATCCATCACAAATAACCGATAAAGTAATCTGACATCAAGCTTTAGCAAATCTCTCCCAATTATCCCGAAACACTCTGATCACGTCCCTGACTTGTTTGAAAAAAAAGTTCTCTCTCTCTTTCTCTCTCTGGGATTTTCAATAAATGAACAAATATATTTCAAATATTATTTAATTACATTGAAGAAATGTTTACATCAGTCAGATCTCTGCTTACTTTATTATTTATTGATCTATTATCTTTGCTTTACTGTTATACCGATCAATGGGTATTTGTTCACAAACTCACCCGTCCCAATTAGCACACATACATGAGCAGTTTAGCACAATCGCTATTTCTCTTTTAAAACACTAGTAAGATTATTATTCAATTTAAATGCTACGCTTTTTTCTTTAGCAGATGTTTCTTTAGACATTTGTAATATATATCTCTGTACTGTTTGACTTCTTTATAAAAGGCCTCCATTTTTATTTCCTTTAGCCGGGAAGTGACGTAAGCAAATCCTGTCTTCCTCTGCGTGTCTGCGTACGCAATTTGTCCTCCATACCCGCCATGTCCAATCCCAATCTTAGTCAAGAAAAAAGGTAAATAGAATGGTATATTTTTTTCTGAATTTTTAAACATCAATAAAAAATTATAACACGGCTAAAATTTGAAACATTATTCCTTATTTATAGACAAATCTTAAAAGTTTAAACAATAAAAGTTTAGACTTTACCAAGTTAAACACATCTAATAATATAGCAGTCTGACTGTTATAGATAAGATTAACTTGATAAAATTTAAACTTTTAATGTTACATATACATGTCCATGTATATAGGGGTGGGATCAAAAGATCAATGTCTTAATTCAAATAGATAGGGGGTGTCAAGAGCCCTTAAAGTTTTTGCTGTCCGACTTCACATATATTACATATATGAAACTTTAAATTGTTGTTAATTGAAACACTTCTTTTTATAGCAATTTGTTAAAATATTATTTTTCTTTTCTTTTTCTGTTGTCTGTCATTTGATTCGTTATTTTGTCTGTACACCAACATGGTGATGCCAATAAATTGAATTGAAAATTTTTTGAATAGACAAAAGAAACATAAGCTATGTGTAGTGTAATAAATACTGGTACTTAATAATCTAATTTGAATCAAATTTAATCACATTTGGGGGGGGGGGGGGGGTTGTTCAAGATGGAAAATACATAATCTAGTTTTTTTGTCAGACACTGAACTTTTGATCTTGCCCCTTATGATATCTGACGCTCATAAATCTGATAATTCACTAGTATGGTATATTTTTTACCATTTGCTTGTCCTCCGTAAAAACAATAACTCCACGACCAAATGTGGGATTTATCGTTCCATCCAGACCGATTCCAGAAGTTAGAGGTTCTTCTAGTACCCGAATTATCTTCTTTGATAGAAGAATTCCTTCATCGGTTTTTCCTCCATTTGCGATGATTCCATACAGCTTGGCAAGGTTTCTAGCGTTACTATATCCGTTTACAGAAGACTGTGGAATTTTACTATACTCGGGGATATTTAATGCTGTATCCTAAATTTAGAAAAAAATATTCTTAATGAATGTTCTAGAAATACTCATTTATCTTTTGTTTTGATATTTACTGAAGATATCGAAAGACACCCTCTATCTCATAGAAAAGCTACCGACCGAGCAAGAGGTATATTCACAAAATGACGAATGAAAGAGATACATTTAGAGAATTTCATTCAAGAAATTCAAGATATACCAGATGGATTGCATCAGTTCCAGAAGTTACAGCTTTAGACAATATGGATTCCCGGTCCATTAATTTGTATGTGATCAGGAGTGGTTCCAGATCTAGAGAAGTAAGAGTCTTCCACAATACGGTAGTGAATGGAGTGGGCCCATACCTGGCCTTCCTATAATATAAGTGATATGGAAGTCCATTGTAAAACTCAATACCTGAAAAGAAGATTTATTATATCAATCTTACTTTTCTGGCAAAAATGGAGGCTTGGTGATTATTAACAATTGATTTACATTAATAATTTTGTTTTGCTTATAATATTTGACAATTTTGCACAGTAAAACAAAAACAAAAACAACAAGCATTCTGAGAGTATTGCATTAGCAATACTAGTCCCCTACCGGCAAGTGTAATCTGGTTCCCGTTAAAAATTGAAAATGCCATAATTCCGTCAAAAATCAATGAAGCGAAACGAAATGCAAACTTGATCTATAACTAATCAAGGTAAAGTCACATACCAAAAATCAGCTCAATATCTGAACGCGTTTAGAAGAAAATTGCGGAAAACCCTTAAAAACTGAAAAGGCCGTAATTCCGTCAGAAATCAATGACGCTGAACGAAATGCAAACTTGATCTGTAACTCATCAAGATACACTTACGTACCAAAAATCAGCTCAATATCTGCAAGCGTTTAGAAGAAAAGTGCGGAAAACCAAGTGGGACAGACTGACAGACAGACAGAGGGACAGACGGACAGACAGACAGACGGACGGACAGACTCAGAGGAAACCTATAGTCCCCTCCGGTTTCACCGGTAGGGGACTAAAAAAAAGAACACTTTTATCCAGTTGCATCATTAAACTTGTAAATTTTCAGGAGGTGGAAAAGTATATAAAATGTCAAGACCATCTACCCTCCTTAAAAGAATTTTTAATCTGTTGCTTTGGATGTTATAAAATTGAATTTGGATGTAAAAAAAAATACCTAATTAAAAAAATGAAGAATTTACCATTAATTTAGACTTGTTAATAATCACAATCATGAATTGCACATATTCTTTTATATCATAACAAAAAATTAATTATATCTGAAAACATTTTGGTTTAATTGATATATTTTTACCAAATTTATCTCCTATTTCTTCCTTAAAAATTTTATCCGCACGCCTGTGTTTTGGATCCGCCTTTGTTAAAAGGGAATCGACAAAAAGTCCATATGTGATAGCATGGTAAGCATACATAGTTCCTGAAAATAGAGAGAAACTTAAGACATCAAAAAATATATTTCTGTTATCCCCCCCCCCCCTGTAAATCCGGTCTGTTCGGTATGGACTTAATAAATATGACATTTAAAGTGCAATAAATGTGAGGGGTTTTTTTTTCTTGAGACATTTATGTACCAGGCTTCCAATAAGGGGTCTGCTGTTCTAGAAATCTGTAGACCTTCTCTGGGTGCTCGTCTATCCATTGCATTGGAATTGTGCCATTTGTTATTGATAGACCTCCCTGAAGAAATATATTTAGCCAAATTTAAGCCATTTTATAACATTTAAATGTTAGAATGCTTATATCTGTTAAAAATCATTAGAAAAAGTTAAATTTCTTCGAAACTTTTACTTGATGGCTTAGGAGCATTTCTACGGTTATTTCATGTTTTCCATTTTTCCCAAATTCCGGCCAATAATACGTCACAGGCTTTTTGTAATCTAACCATCCTCTGAAAAATTATGTAATTTAACTAGTTTCCATAGCAAGTACATATTACAGTAAGAGAGATTTCAAAGCATTGGGCTCTGTTATCTTTAAGTAGATTAGCATATAATTTGTACATGTAACTGCACTCACTGAAAACAACATAATTAATATGTACCTATTTCTTACCTGAGAAAGAGTAGAAGACTGTTAGTCTGCTATTGGGCTTTAAAGGAGTTTGGTTTCAATACCATTGTCAAATATTTTGGAATAGCAAAAAGGATAATTTTAGGAAAAATTATTTCGAAATCAGAAGATCAAGGAAACAAGAGCTCCATTTTAATCTGGATTCGCTAACTGATCGATGAAGCTTTATTTGACTTACTTGTCTACAAAAACTGCTACCAACAAAGCAGTTACTCCCTTAGTGGCGGAAAAGAGAATGGAAAGTCTGTCTTCCGTCCAGGGTCTCTTTGTGGTTACATCAGCATACCCACCCCATACGTCCACTAACGGTTTCCCCTCATGAAAAATCGAAAGAGAGGCTCCGATCTCAATTCCACGTTCGAAGTTTTCCCTTTCAAGCATTTAGTTACAAGAGATAAACATTTCAGTTAACACATGTAGATGAAACTCGATGACTGGGGAGTTTTTCATGACTGAAGCAATCTTTATTAGAAATACATGTAATCAATTGATTTTTTTTTTCCAAATGCGTTATGCACAACTACTTTTTGAGCAGTTTGATTTGCAGATCAGTGCCTTCAAAATGAGAGCAAAAGAATTTCAGAATTTGGCGAAAATGTGATTGAAGAGCACTATGACAAGATTATTGCTGTATAATCAATGAGTAGATATGTCCTTCTTATTGACCCTCAAATCAAAAACTATAAGCAACTTTTATCTAATGACACTTAAATTATATAAAAGATTTAATTTATCAGCATTTTAAAAATCGTACCTGAAATTATCCACAACTTCTTTAAAATCCGGATGAAATCGTCCATCGAATGGTATTTGTAAATTCTGTGTATGTTTGTATTTATAAATATATAACAAACCGGACAACACCAGAACGAAAAGTGATAATTTGAAAACCCCCATGGCAAATAAAGGTGGACGGTAATCTAGTCAAAGGTCAGGGTAAATACAGACTGTATCTCATGATAGCTTGTATAGAAGAAAAGACGTATGATTCGGGGCTACAGGAAAGGAGGAAGGAAATCTCGGGACATTTATCATGTTTATGTTTGGAAGAGAGTGAGAGATACACACACAGTTTGTCCAAAAATAATAGTGTATGTTTACAATTTTACAATGTTTACACTTTATCAAAGTGATCAATGAATCACAGAGAGCCAGGGTGACTTATTATGATTAGTGACAAGTGGCAAATAGCCAAATACCCAAGTCTGTGTGTACTGAATTGTAGCACTAGGCAATTGACAAAACATATCTGTATATATCGAATACCTTACACAATTGGCAAGTGTCCATTGTATTTTTATATTTTGCATTCATTACCATCCCTATAAGACTTGGGAAAAGTATGATCTCAAGGAGATCACTCGGGTCTAGCACGTTACATGTGCAACAAGCATTCTGAGAGTATTGCATTAGCAATACTAGTCCCCTACCGGCAAGTGTAATCTGGTTCCCGTTAAAAATAGAAAATGCCATAATTCCGTCAAAAATCATTGAAGCGGAACGAAATGCAAACTTGATCTATAACTAATCAAGGTAAAGTCGACGCATACCAAAAATCAGCTCAATATCTACAGGCGTTTAGGAAAAAATTGCGGAAAACCAAGTGGGGCAGACTGACAGACAGACAGACAGAGGGACAGCTAGACGGACAACTAGACAGACAGACAGCTAGACGGACAGACGAATGGACAGACTCAGAGGAAACCTATAGTCCCCTCCGGTTTCACCGGTAGGGGACTAATAAGCAAGGGTATTTTTACCAGATTTTTGAAATTCTTTGCCAACATTGCTTCGTCTGTCTACGATGGCCGATATCAGCCTGTCTAAAATAAAATTACACGGCCTATAATTTTGTCTTTTGTACATGTACATTTCTTACATGTACAAAAATATAAAAAGTTATAATTTCGCGAAAAGACAAAATGTACATGTACATTTCTTTAAATTTGTACATGTACAGACAAAAAAATCTGTAGCAGGTGCATTTAGGCAACATCCATCAGACACGCCATTCAAAATTTAGAGGACCCGACACAGTGCTGCGATTTTTTTATTTCCTTTTTTATATTGACTGTATTAATTGTTATGTGACAACAATGTGTTTCGGCGGTTTGATATCGTAATGGTGTATTAAAAATATATATCAGGTTCCGCCTTCATCAGGGATCAAACCGTAATTTCTATATGGCAAAATAGCTTTTGTCAGCAAATTACCAATACTTTTATGTATAGCATATGCAATCATTAGTTTTGTTTGAAAGATTTATTTGCATGTTTCATCTTTTAAAACTAATGACCAGTATTTTGATAATTTGGATTTCAGACCTTTGATTCTTGGGTCATACTTTGTTATTGGAACATTCGGTATTTCCTTTGTTTTTCTTGGCTTAATGTAGCCTTATGACTCTGTTTAAAGCCAAGGATTCATTATAATTGGGTCAGTCTCAGTTACCTCGTATTCTCTGTTTAGAAGGTGTGATCTGAACTCAAGAAGTTCTTTTATATACCGCTATAGATTTTTTTGTCTGTACATGTACAATTTTAAAGAATTGTACATGTACATTTTGTCTTTAAGGAAAATTGTAATTTTTTATATTTTTGTACATGTACAAATTTCAAGAAATGTACATGTACAAAAGACAAAATTATAAGCCGTGTAATTTTATTTCAGTCAGGCTTATATCGGCCATCGTATCTGTCAGTTAATTTTGTTTTATACTTCTGTGGATCCTTTACAGTGTTGTATTATACTCAGGTGACCGTTAACAGGTTAAGCCCTTGGGCCTCTTTATTTTGCAAATCATAAGGTTATCGAAATTAAGAAATTTAAAACAGTAAGATTGTGGCATTTTTATTGCCTCAAGATGTTTTGGGTGCATGCTTCATTATCATGCTCATTTCTTTTGTAATCAATTGCAGTGTAACAGTTCTTGGGTAAAATGATCCATATGCACAAGCTTATCTGGGGTAAAATTTCGGTGTAGTGTTGTCCGGAGATTAATTTAAACAGTTTATTTTAAAGAATGGTATCAATACTTCTAATTTATTTCCATAATTTTTACCGAATTTTCTCAATTCTGATGGAATTTCGTCAAACTTTAGACACTGTTCACTTTGGATACACAAGATGCATCTGACAACAGTGCATGAAATATATGTTAGGTAGATAGGCAAGTTTGTACTCTATGTTTTCTGAAATAAGATGTGGTATAAATTTGATGAAAATTTGCATAAAAATGATAACATATAGGAAAAGGACATATTTTGTGATCTTCCTGTGACACATGTGTATCCTATTAATCAGAATCAATACTCATTTTGTAATAGGGATGACAACAGGTTTTTAAAGATGAACTATATTGCATCATTCTTGGGGGCACCTCAAACAGGGGCCATTAAGGGTCTTAGCCTATCTTGTCTTTTCTGACACTGAAATTGCAGGTCATACATTGTTTTAAAAATTAAAATAACATTTTTAAGCTCATAAATAATTGTTAACTTTTATTCATGTAAAGAATTGTCTACTTCTGATAAATAAACAAGAGCCCCATGGGCCATAACGCTCACCTGAGTAACTTTGGCCTTGCTGTTTTTCACCTGATAATACCTACTGTGGCCCCGCCCTACCCCCTGTGGTCATGACTTGAATAATTTAGAATCTGTACTACCCCAGGATGCTTCCACTGATTTTTCCTTTATATTTCAATGTTGAAATTGGATTCACTTTTGTGGCCCCGCCCTATCCCCGGGGGTCATGATTTGAACAATTTAGAATCTACACTATGGAGGGTAATCGTGTTCAAAAATCCAGACTTGTAAGTTTGTAAATCCAAACTTGTAAGTTTGTAAATCCAAACTTGTAATCGTATCAGTTTCATAGTCTACATATGTAAGTAGGTAATTCCGACATCCTAGCATGTAGTTCCGAACATACAACTGTGTTGACTTTGAGTTTATACATGTACTATGAATGTGTGTATTTTTTATGTTGTAAACTTTTTTTCCGGAATTTATATTTCCGCGCTCTGAATAAAACACAAAGACAATTGACAAGTCTACAAATGTAAAGTCTACATGATTGTCGAATTTTGATTATGAGAAACTATGGAGGGGCATCAGTGCCACATTTCCCCCTTTTTTATTTATTCTAACTTCTTCTTTTTCCAACTGAAATAAATTATTTAGATTTTATTTCTTTTTTATTCTAACTTCCAATTTTATATTAATATTTTCATTTGAATTTGTTATTTAATTTTAATTCTAACTTTTTGTTTATATGTTCCAATTTTATTTTATCTTCTTAATTTTATTTCATTTGACGATGTGACATGAATCATTACCCGCTTATTCACGGCTTGCGCGGATCTAGAGGGGCTTCGGTTTTTAAGGTCTCAACCGAAAAATTATTCAATTTGATTTTCAATGCCGAAGGAATAGTCATTACCAACACGTACCATGTTTAACGTCTTACATTTTGTCGGCCGGCACTAGGAACTTAGGACAAGCGAACTCTTACCCTCCAATGGCCTACGAAGCTAGCGCCCAACCACTAGGCTACTGTGATCAGTGCCTCAGTTTATTAAGAACCAATGTAACTGCAATGATAGCATTTAAAAAAAAAAAAACAACAACTCAGTAGATGAAGATCAATGTTTACCGGGGGGGGGGGGGGGTTCCAAAAAAATTGACGATGAAAAAAAAAATAAATAAACTGCCCAAACTCCTCCTTCGTGGGAGGCGATGTTTAGGATATCTTTAACTTTTCAGTAACTTTTTTTTCAAAGCAAGAATTTGCCAGAGTTTAATGATACTGCAAAATAAGGGGGATTGGGGGGGGGGGTAGGCATACAGCCTATAAATGGATTCTCATATTAAAACAGCTGCAAAAGATTATTCTCCACACAAAAAAGGTGGGAGCCCAACCTTTCGATCCCTCCTTCTTTGGACCTGAGATTTGTTACATGTAGTGAAAAAAAAATTTTCTCTGTCCTACTTTAAAAAAATAATGTGATGACAATATCAATTTAAAGATATCTGATATTTGTGTACCATAAGCGGGCAATCAAAAATGGCGGTCATATTTATCATATTTGAAACATCTTGCACCAGGGCCATAAAACTTAGACGGGCTCATTTTTGATCACAGTCTCACGTTTACCAAAGGAATTAATAGTATATAGAAAAAAGAGACTGGGGTCAAAAGTGAGCTCATCTACATTGTAAGTGTTATGGCCCCGAACCAGGTCCGTAGGTAGCAAGTAGGGGTGAGGGTGCCAGTATATACTATACCAATAAAAAAAAGCAATTTCTGATTGTGCCCCCTCAATAATTTTGCCGGTAAATACATAAGAAAAGAAATAAGGCTAATTCATCGTTGAGCCCCCTCAACAGGAATGTTTCGTTTGGGGGAGGGGTTTATCAAGAAATTTTTGTTTTGTGCCCACTGCTCCACCCCCACCCAATGAAAATGCTTTCTACGGGCTTGAAAACGAGAGAAAACACGCAAGATATCATATGGTTTTTAAAATGAAAAAAAAAATGTTCCATAGAAATGTTTCTACGTTTCGTAGCTACCTGTAGACTGTTCGCCAAGATCTCTGTGTACCTGTACATAAAAGGCCGTAGGGCCTCTTTTCGTTTAAATTTTATTCGGATTTCTTAGTTTAACTCTGTAAGTTCTACTTTCTTAAACATACTTTCGATTTTGCTTATAGTTATTACCAAAAAAAATTAAGTATTAACTAAGTTAGGTGAAGTGAAACATAATTGAAATTTTAAGATAGAATAAAATACGAAAGGAATCAAAATTGCCATAATAAAATAAATAAAATAAAATAAAACTGGAAAATATAAACAAGAACAGACACAGATCCAGGGGGGTCCATCCCAGTCCAAAAAATCCAACCCAGAAATTTCTTGACAAGCAAAAAAAAAAAGTAAACTCCTTTCCCAAGCATGAAAAACCTATTTCGCGCGCGCGCGTGTGTGTGTTGGGGGAGGGGGTTAGTCGTCAACTTAACACAGATTAGCGTTTTCGAGGGGGGTCCAAGGTCACTTTTAGTTCGTTTAGTATAAACATTTAATAAGCCTGCAAATTTCAGGGGGAGGGGTGGGGGGGTTCCGGACCCCCTACTAGCTCCGCGCCTTCAAGAAGTAAGAATAAAATGAGAAATAAAAAATGAAAAATTTAATTTGAAAAACAAAAAGTTAGAATAAAAAAGAAAATAAGACCATTAAAAATAATTGTGGCATTGATGACCCTCCATAGGTTCTCATTATCAAAATTCGACAAACGTGTAGACTTTACATTTGTAGACTTGTCAATTGTCTTTGTGTTTTATTCAGAGCGCGGAAATATAAATTCCGGAAAACAGAGTTTACAACATCAAAAATACAACATTCATAGTATAAACTCAAAGTCAATACAGTTGTATGTTTGGAACTACATGCTAGGATGTCGGAATTACCTACTTACATATGTATACTATTAAACTGATACGATTACAAGTTTGGATTTACAAACTTACAAGTTTGGATTTACAAACTTACAAGTTTGGATTTACAAACTTACAAGTCTGGATTTTTGAACGCGATTACCCTCCATACTACACTACCCTTGAATGCTTCCACTTAAGTTTCAGTTTTTCTGACCCAGTGGTTCTTGAGAAGAAGATTTTTAAAGATTTTTTCTACATATTTCAATGAAAAACTTGGATTCCCTGTTGTGGCCCCGCCCTACCCCGGGGGTCATGATTTGAACAATTTAGAATCTACACTACCCCAGGATGCTTTCACATAAGTTTAAGCTTTTCTGGCCCAGTGGTTCTTGAGAAAAAGATTCTTAAAGATTTTTCCTATATATTTCAATGTAAAACTTGGATTCCCTATTGTGGCCCCGCCCTACCCCCGGGGGCCATGATTTGAACAATTTAGAATCTACACTACCCCAGGATGCTTTCACATAAGTTTTAGTTTTTCTGGCCAAATGGTTTTTGAGAAGATTTTTTAATGACCCCACCATATTTTTGTCTTTTCTTAATTATCTCCCTTGGAAGGGGACTTGGCCCTTCATTTTAATAATTTAAACTTCCCTTTACCCAAGGATACTATTACCTAGTTTGGTTAAAATTGGCCCAGTAGTTCTTGAGAAGAAGTTGAAAATGTGAAAAGTTTACAGACGGACGGACGACGGACAACGGGTGATCAGAAAAGCTCACTTGAGCTTTCAGCTCAGGTGAGCTAATTAAAAGTTTGTCTGAAAAATGAGATTCAAGGCTTTAAAATACCCTTATTTATCAATTTTATGAAAAAAGCTTTTTAAAAAATGAAATGTGAAGAAAGTGTTTGCTTTTCTGATAAAGACTTAAAAAGGCCAATTCTAGGCAATGTTTACTGTCACGGCACTGTTTACCATGTAAAATTCATCAGTCATTAATGTTAAATTACAATGTATATGCTTTCTATCAAAAAAATCTCAACTATTTTTCATATCCAGAAAAAAATGGGAAAAACTAGAAGTATTTATTTGACTCAGGACAAAATGACGCCTTAGCCACTAAGGCGAAAGTAAGAATTTTATAAAAGAAACATATGACGTCCGAGTTTAATTTAAGCTAAATGAATGTATGTATCATACACGTAGGAAGCAATTTCACAAGGATCGGTTGGGGGGGGGGGGGGCACAACTTTACAGAAATTGTCGACAAGCAAATGAAAAAAAAGCGATCTTAGATGTTTTTGATGGAGCACAACTGTAAATTATAATAGCTTAGTTTTCTAATGTATCGTATATATTGGCAAAATTTTACAGGGGAGCAAAACTGTAAACTAGCTCTCTTTGTTCAGTAAAATATATACATATATTGGCAAGAGTATTGGGAGGGGATACAACCCGTGCCCCCCTACTCCTGGTTCCTAAGGGCCAGAATACATGCTACCACAGGTTTTGTAATCATTAACAAATAATTTTAATTCAGAATTGTCGATATCTACATAAAAAATACATATACATATATATTCAGTCTATAGAAGAAATAATAAAACATCAGTTTATCAAATCTTTGGAAAATGAATGACAAAAAGTATCATTTCATCAAATCAGTCATGTTAACAAGTTCCGATTCGATTCGCCATTTCGTACTATTGTCATAAATTGGTTTCAACAGTCATCATCATTTAACAATTTTCCAATCCTCCTCTAAATAAGTTAAAGTGCAGCGATATCCGTTTGCTTTTGATAATGGAAGAAAAGGGGGGGGGGGGGCTAAGATAACTTGAATAATGGTCATACATGTATGTTTTGATTTTCTGACCTCTCCAAACTACAATTTGTACATCAACTTCAAAGCTACAAATTCAGACTTGACATATAGCAGACTGACATGATTATGAAAATTAAACTAGGTTGACTTGTGTTGTGTGGAATTCACTCTCAGACACAAAATTTGAAATTGATTATGATAAAAAAAAACCAAGAGATTTCTTAAATTTTCTTATTTGTTTATTAAAGTGTCACTTTCACTTTCCTTTCTCTTCAAATCGTCGACAATCTCTGATCATACAAACTTGTACATGAATGAAAACAACATTTGACTATCAGAAAGGCTACCTCAGCTTCAGAAGGGCGACCCCGGCTCTCTTGGGTTACACCAGCGATTGACTTTGAATTGTCCTATATAGTAGTCCCTGTTACAACCTCCGCAGTAGTTTGAACTGGATAAAAACAATCACACTTTAACATATTTTAGAATTTTTAGTGACAATCTTAAATTACATGTACTATTCGGTTTGCAGTACGACATAGATTGTAACTTGAGGACTTCGTATAATTATTCACAGTAGAAATTGTCTTTATAAAGTACTTTAGACCTCAGTTTATTTCTAAATAATAATATATTACCAAAGTGATATTATTCAACTATGTAGCTCTTATTTGAGGTCAATCCATAGATATACATGTACTGACTTCATATTCTCTTTAGAGAAGTGGACAGGCAGGAATGTATGTATTAGACGTGTTACATAAACAATTTTAACATAAATAAACACAAATGTCACAAGAAAACCAACCTTTACAAGTTGTTATTATTTTCACAAGTTCTCCATCCCGGATTTAAATTATGTACAAATAACTCCTGAAGGATTTAAAAAAAGTCTAATTTGGATAAAACTGGAAATATTTTACAAAGTGATAATGAAATAGTAGAAATCGTCTAGTATGTTAAATTTAACGAGGTATTATTTCCTCAAGTTTCCTTCAAATTCTTTTGATCTTTGTTTTACATCTTTATTCTCGTTTCTCGGGAAAGGTAGAATTAATACTGTTTAAGAATAAAAGAAAAGATTTTTAGTATTAAAAGAAAGGAAGTAATGTAATATATATATTTTAAACTCAAATTTACATTTTAATTGTATTATACATGTAATAGTACAAATAAATACAAGAATTTTTTTTATTTTGAATAATATGCCAAATCAAAAGTGAATTGTCAAAATCTTTTTTGAACGTAAAAAAGCGTCTTCACCAATTTTTTCCAAATTATCCGACTTAGAATTTTCAAATTTTTCTAATAAGTAGAAAAGCATTAGTTTGAATCCGGGATTGAGAACTTGTAAAAATGGATTAACGACATGTAAAGGTTGGTTTTCTTGTGACGGTTGATTTTATTTATGTTAAAATTGTGAATAGAAAACGTCTGTTACGTATATTCAGACATATTTTAGGCGAGATGTTAGTTGAAGTGTAGGCCGTCACCGGTTCTACATTTTACACGTTTTCCAGAATCAAAACATAAAGGCTTGCGAAGAGAAGTGGATGTAGGCGAAAGCCTGTCCACTTCTCTAAAGAAAATAACTGAATTCACAGAAAAGCATGCATGTATCAGTTCTCTTTGAAGTCGATATATATCTCTATGGATTGACCGAATCAAAGGGGTATGTTTGTTATATCATTTTTTAATAAATAAGAGGCAAATTCATTTTTGTTTGAAAAAAAAATCACCTTGATAAAACTCATCCTTGGATTTTTCCTGTGTTATTTTTAGTAACTCACGTCAATATCGTAAAGTATAATTTTGTGTGTGATAGTAAACAAACCAATAAGATTGATCAAATTACACAAAAAATAATATGACATTTCTGTTGCAAATAAAACATATTTTAATGTCTTACCGACATGTTGCAAAGTCAATATTTGTACAACCAGGAGTGCTGCACGGATCTACGAAGCAATTGTATATTGGAATCCCAGAAGGGCACACTAAAATACAGAACACTAGATAACAGCAGTAAAATTGCACGCACAATTACGTTTTGCAGTTGTGTACCTACCAGGACCCCCAATACCCATCCAAAAAACTGCCTCAACCCCCAATACCAATCTAAAAATAATCACCAAAAGGGATTTGTTGTTTTAAGGTCTGATTTCAATTTTATCTTTAAAAAAAGTGTAACATTTTCTGACTAATCTTTAAATATATACTAGTTTCCTTTTCAGAAAAGGAAATCAAATCTTTTAAAGCAGTTTTGGCAAAGTAGACATAATTATATTTGTAAGGATCAGCTTTATCGCACTACACTCATTGCAGCATATCTTGATTTTTGTATATTTTACGTCCCACAGTTAAAGACCATGTAAAGTTCAAACAATTGATTCTAAAAGCATAGGCAAAGTGAACCTTTTTGCACAACGCATGAATTTTCAGTACGTAATTCACAGCTTACTTATTTTTTTCTTGTTGGCAACATTCATATTTGCAAGTGAGTATTTTTTCATCAATGGATTATAGATGTACTTATGTTATGTTAAAAACAGTGTCCAGTCAAAAAAATTTAATAAATTAATTTAATTTTCTGACGTTTTAAGGTAGTACACAACAAAATGACCAAAATTTTCCTCAAATTTTTTATTTTTTTTATTTTTATTTTTTTTTTTATTTTTTTTTTTTTTTTTTGAAAAATATTAAATCCCTCTTTATATTTAGTAAGAAAGAAATTCAACCACATTATTATTATTTTTTTTTTTTTTTTGCCCTGATTTTAAATATATCCTTTCCTGCAATAAGACGGTGAAATCAGATACTCGACGTGAGAATGAAATACCTTCAATATATTACAAATGTTTTTTTTTTTTTTTGGTTTTGTTTTTTGTTTGTTTATTTCTTTTCTTTTTTTTTTCTTTTTTTTTTTTTTTCTTTTTTTTTTTTTGGAACGAGTCAACATACCACACATGCTTTTATAATGAATTGCACTTCATTCTCTCATGCATATGATATTACTTTATCAAGCTTAAGAAATGAACATTTAAGTTTAACATTGTAAAGCATGAAAATTTTTATATTTAAACACGAGAAATTAAACTAAATTAAATTAAATATATATTTCTTTATTTACAACCCCCAGATAATCCAACTATTCCACCAGAATTAAGACGAGTTGTGACATGACAATAAATTTTGCCAATGAAATTAATATTATCAATAAAACTTTAAATGTTAAAAATTCAGGTGTTTTTATTTTAAAGAAAAAATTAATAAAGTTCTAATTATTTAAAATTATATTTATAATATAAATATGATATAAATATATTATTAAATGCAGTTATGTCGCAAAGACAGTGACTTTGTTAATAAAAGGTTAACAGGCTGCACATTATCTTTAAAGCTGTCAATCAATTATCGTTTCATCTAAAATAAGCGAAATTAAGACATGAAAGTAATTTTATCAATTAAATTTTAAATTTCAACTTTAAATTTTGGTGTTTTTATTTTATAAAAAAAAAACTAAAATAAAATTCTAAAGCGCGTATAATTATTTAATGCAGTTAAGTCGCGAAGACTTTGTTTTTGTTCACAAAAAAAAAAAAAACAACAACAGGCTGCACACACCGATGTTAAATTATACAAAGCTTTCAATCATTATCCAATATAATTTAATTATCTTTTTTTATTCAATGATTGATTAAGTTATCAGTCAATTTATTTGATATTTATTCTATTTATTTATTTTTAAACATAAATATAAGGCAATGAAACAATATACATTTATCACTTCCACTGAACTGATCTTAGTGTTCTTTAATACTATAATACTATACTGTTTTATATAGTTAAAACAATGCAATATGTATACTTACAACCTTGTCCAAATATTAGTGCAGCTGACTGAAGAAGAATGAATATTTCTATTGCTTTCTTCATTGTTACATGTACATGTATGTGAACGATCGAGAATGGTTGATGTTTGGCGTTTTTAATAACCGCATTTTATACAATTTTCCATAAATCTCTACGCCAATCATTTGATTTATTAGTGTTGTGTTCTGAATAAGGATAACATTGAATAAATTAATTTCCATGACTCATATTTTGGTTTGATAAATATTTATGATTTTTAAACACGCATTTGTTACTTGAATGTTTTCTGATGAATTGTAATCTTATTTACCGTTTAAAATGCCAATCAATGTCTTCTTTTGTTTTTATTTTTTAATAATCAACATTTTTGTATAAACATTTGCATATCAACACATGCTAAGATTTTCAATAGGGGAATAAATAAATTCTCTATTTAATTGACAATATTGAAAAAACTATCTTGAAACAAGAATAAATAAAAATAGAATCAGAAGAAGAATATCACAGTAATTGTTTTATTTGCAAAAAAGATATATAGCGGGTTCCTTTATATGTTCTATCAAGCCTCTGTTTTTACTCCTCACTAAAATATTTGGATGTTATACTGAAAAAAGATGTCAATGGTTACCTAACATCAGCACTTGATGATAACGTGATGACATCAACTTTTCTATAGTCAACTTTCCTTATTTATGGATATCAACTGTCTCATTTAAAGTCAACATTTTGCAAGTTCTATGGTCGATACAATGACCTTGTCAGCAAATACAAACTGTTGCATGACTGATGTTTTTTTTCATACAAATTGTTACGTATTTATTAAAGTTACCCAAATACCTGTTCGTGTTTGTTTTTTCTCGTCATCTATTGGCCGTTAGAATTGTCACCTAGCCAGGTAACAATTATTCACAGCACGGGCTATTAGTGACCATGAAAGAAATTTTATTTAGAGAAAGCCATTCGAAAGCTCTGTTTCGTGCAGTCCACACACGTTTTCGTCTTTCTCAATATTTTGTCATGGGCGATTCTGGAGACGGAATTTTGTTAGAAACCAACCAAAGTAAGTGAATTCCAAAGAAAACTGCTGGCAATCCCCCGTTGAATATTTCGGACGTGGTGAAGCTTCTTACGGAAGTTTTGCAGTCTCAACTTCAAAACCTTTCAGGTCAGCTTAAAGCAGAACAGCCGGAGTCCATTGCTAGAAAACTGAAAGAAAACTCTATTCTAAAGATTGAAGGTGAAGGGAATCGTGCTCAGTACGATTTTAATGCTGAAATTCTCAAGGGTCTAGAAAAACTAGAAGTAAGAGCTTTCGAAAATAAAGATACTGAGTCAGACTGGTGTCAATTATAGGCGAATTGCGGAAAAACACTGAAAACGTGCTAGAAACACATTCGAATCGTCGATTCCTCTCCCGCAAGGTGGAAAACAGTAAACGAGAAACAATCCAGAGAAATTGCTGACAACTCTGACAATGAGAAGAAAATTAGAAGAGTTGAAAGCCGCGCTCTCAGCTCAGGCAGCAAAAGCAAGCGCAGAACAAGCGTTTTCACCCGTATGGCACCTACAGAACCTTTCCAGCCGCGGCAGCGGCAGGTTCGACTGTCCAACTTACTTCTGCATCTTCAACCATTTACATACCAGCAGCAGCCCTTTCGTGGCATACCAGTGATGTTTGTTTCAACAGCTTTTCCACGGGCACTGGAAAACCAACTGTCTCAAAAACAAGCCACAAAGTCAATGATAAGTATACAGATTACACAATGCCTTCAGAAAAATGAATTAAAACAAATGTCATTAAAAAAGCATAGTTTGCTGAGAAATGTTGGTAAATGGAAGGAAATTGGTTCAAATTCATTTATTTTGAAAGCTATTGACTCTGACTTTGAAATCCTTTTGTCTAAATCCTCCTATGTGTTTTCGAAATGATAAGTCTGCTATTAACAGTGTTGAATTTGTTGCTTCACAAATTTTAGAGTTGATAGAAAACAAACGTATTTTAGAAGTTCCTTTTCAGCCATTTGTGTGTAGTCCACTGAGCGTTGCAGAAAATAAAAACAAGAACAGGTTGATCCTTGATCTCAGTAGGCTAAATGAATATGTGAAGTATGAAAAAAAAAATAAAATTTGAAGACTGGAAGACGGCTTTAGATTATTTCGAAAAGGGTTTTAATTGTATCAAATTAGATCTGAAATTAGGATATCATCACATAGATATAGCTGAGATTTAGAATTCCAGTGGGATAACAAGTATTACTGCTATCTAGTTCTTCCTTTCGGTCTTTCGTTAGCTCCATTTATTTTTACTAAATGTTCAAGACCCAATTCTTGAGAAAAAATGGCATTATGATTGTATTATATTTAGATGATGGTTTGGCATTTGCTTCAACTGAGAGTCAATGTCTTTTAGATTCTAAATTATTCACAAAACGTCAGAAACTGGTTTGGTGGACAATGTTGAATAATCACATTTTATACCAACTGAAGTCATTGAATGGTTAGGTTTAACATGGAATTCAAATTTATTTTCTATTTAAGGTCCGGACAGACAAATAAAGGATGCTGTCTGTTGTCTGCAGAAAAAATATCACTCGTTTTTCCTACATAACAGAGAGGGAACTTGCAAAAGTAATGGGGAAGATCATTTCTTTGACTCCAGTAATGGGTAACATATGCAATATTTTGACTAGGTTTTTCTTCTATGGAAATTGCTGTGAAGGAATCATGGGATTCTAAGTTATTTTTCAAGTATCAAGATCAAGTGCTTGAAGGACTAAAACTTTGGATAGAATGTATTCGTTGTGATAATACAAGATTTCTACATTCTATTAAAAGAAAAAATGTTATCATTTATTCAGGTGCAAGTAATTCAGCATCAAGTGCATATACAGTGGAAGTTAATTCTAAGGTGTTCCATTCCATGTGGAAAGAACATGTGAAAAGTATGAGTTCTACATGGAGAGAGTTGAAGGCCATAGAATTGGCGTTAGCTTCTTTCAAGAAAGAAATACTACGAAATATGACAGTAAATTGATTTACAGATAATAAAAGTTGTGCGAAAATAGTACATTTCGGTAGTATGAAGCATCATTACAAGTTTTAGCATATAATATTTTCAAAATGTGTGCCGAAAATAAAATTTCCCTTGATATTCTTGTTAGATATAACTCAAAATATTTTAACCTTGAATCAGAAGCTGTAGATTGCTTTACACAGAATTAGTTAAGCGAAAACAATTGGCTAGTACCTCCCATTCATTTGATAGTTTCTTCTATAAAACATTTACTAGATTGCAAAGACTACCGTAACGGTATTTTGATAGTACCAAACTGGCCCTCAGCTGTTTTTGGCCAATGTTATTCGATGTAGATTTTTATTATAAGGTTTATTTTAAAGACGTATTATTGCTTAAAGATACAAGGGAGATACTCATTCACGGTCAGAAGAAGAACCGTCTATTTGGTTCTATATATTTTGGTTCTGGAATACTCGTGGTATGCTTAATTAGATGCTACAAATCTGTAATTTATGATGGTGTGTTGCAGATGGTTTAGGTCCTGGTATACCTTGAACAATATTGTTGCCAAGCTGTGGCAAATGTAATTGATGTATTGCAGACGACAAGTGGTCCTGGTACATCAGAGAGGGTTTATTGCAGATGATGAAGGTCCTGATACACCATATATATGCATACGATATGTAATTTGAATTTTAGAAGATGCTAATTTTTTGCTTTAATAAACACATTTTTCAGATATATTTAAAGTGAGCAGATGGACTGGAATTACTTGTGGATTACAGGATCATTGTCTAGCGGAACTTGCGTCTGAACTTCCCCGATATTGTGTAACATCTAAAGCCGAGAATACAGCAAAGCAGTACAGGTACGCTTTTAACACCTTTTGCAAATGGTGCAGCAGTTAAATCCTGAGATTCAATTTCCTCCTGCTTCGGAAAATAACATTGCACTGTATATCATCCATTTAGCAAAGCAATTTAAATCGTCTGGCAAAATGCATTAATTCAACTATACATGCCATCAGTTGGGCTCATAACCTAGCAGGTTATATAGATCCTTGTGACTCTGCTCTTGTAAAAACTATTAAGGAAGGGGTAACTGGGGAGACATCAAAGCCAGTGATTCAAAAAGAGCCAATATATAACGCCTGAACATTTGAAGACTGTGGTTTCTACAACTGGAGAGAATAAAAATTTATATAATTTAAGAACATTGTGTATGTGTTTATTAGGTTTTGCAGGATGTTCGAGATTCTCAGAAATAGTCAACATTCGTTATTCAGATATACAGATTAATTGTGTAGAAATTAACATCGTTAAAAGTAAAACAGATGTTTATAAAACTGGTCATAAAGTTTGTATTGCTAGAGCATTTTGTAACACATGTCCTGTAAATATGTTGGAAAAGTTCTTAAAATTGTCAAACGCTGACATGCATTCTTTTCAATACTTGTTTAGATCTCTGTCGTTTTGTAAAAAATCCAATGCTTACATGTATAAACTTAGATCGGATAATCGTCCGATTTCTTATACAAGGACAAGGGAAATCATATTGGACTCACTTGAAAATACTGGTTTAGACAAGTGTAAATTTGGTGTACACAGTTTGAGACCGGGTGGCGCTACCTCTGCTGCCGCTTCAGGTGTTTGTGAAAAACTTTTTAAGAACCATTGGCGGTGGCGGTTAGATAATGCTAAAGATGAATATGTTTAAGAAAATCAAACCGAAAAACTTTCATTCACAAAAAATTTGGGCATTTAGTATATTCGTATTCTTCTCTTCTTTATCTTCGAAATAATTAAACAGCACTTTCAGAGCGCTTTTTCCGTTTGCCTGATCATGACAAGGAGTAGACGGCGGGTGTGACCGGTCGACAGGGGATGCTTACTTCTCCTTGGCACCTGATACTACCTCTGACGTTTTAAAGGTTCATGTTTGCTCTGCTCCCAATTTTTTATTGTTTCAATGGTCTTTTGAGCTTGATTACTGTTCGTTATTTTTATATTTCATGAATCAAATAATTAAGAATGACA